GGGTTCTCCCCTGAGGGAGAGAGGCCGGATCCGCTGGGTCGGAGCTTTTCCCTCTTGGTTGGGAGCACTTAGGAGTGGCCGCCAGTGGTGTTTCCAGGCCGTAGGGGCCTGGTTTGTCGTCGCTGGAGTCCGAGAGCCATGTTAGTGAGGTGGTGGCGGTAGGAGAATAGAAGTTAGGGATGCTGAGATCCAGTGGCTCGAAAAGCTATAGCTAACAGGCCCTTGTGAAGAGAAGGGCTGTAAAAGTGCTGTGTTGCAGGACAACGAAGGTATTTCTGGCACGTTTAGTTTAGTATGGTTCAACTATTTTTCCACATTTAACGTTAAAACTTATTATAATTTTATTAAGGCAATGCCTTAATATTCTGAGTGAGTAGCTGGGAATGTAAGAACTGTGATGGCTTTGTTTAGTGAGAGATGTTAATCACTGGCGTTCAACTAAGATTTATAGACTGTTAAAACTTTACAGAAAATGTTTTTGTACTGCTGATGTATTTTAAAAAAAGCGTTACACTAACGTATACATTTGGATTTTTAGAAAACAGCAACTGCTGTTGCCCACTGTAAAAGAGGAAATGGCCTCATTAAAGTAAATGGAAGACCGCTGGAAATGATTGAGCCCAGAACTCTGCAGTACAAAGTAAGCATTCCCCTTTCCCTTTCTTGAATGTTAACATATCTTTATGCAGTTAACTGCTTGGAGAAGGAGAAGAGGTACATGCCTTACTGACTATGAATTATTTGGTTGTGTGTTATCTGATTAGCTGAAATGTAGACACTTCTATAGGAAGAAAAATGCCCTTTTATGGTTGACTTACTGAAGGAGGGGAAGGGTGTTTTTGCTTAGAGGGATTAATGTATAGCTTATACACGCTGTATAAGGTGAATTCAAGGCTCTTCTCAGCAACTAGTACTGTAAGTGGGCTTTTTGTAATTGTGTGGTAAAATACATATGTATATATGTATTTTACATACATATATATGTATATATGTATAAAGAAATGGCATAGCTGAGCACGATATTATATGAAGTACTGTGGGACAAAAAACATTGCATAAATTCAATTATTTTGCTTTGACTGGTATTAGAAGTATTTTCAGCCCTTCCAATTATTATTTTTTTAATTGAAATTGGTGACTTAAACTACTTTTACCAAGCTCTGAAGTTTATTTAGGGCTTAGTTTAAAAAGGCATTTGACCATTGATGAGAGACACTAAGACTGACTAGATGGATATGAAATGTAATAGATAGCGGAGAAAAAAACCCCACAAATCTGTTATGGCATTCTACTTAAATTATGGAACCAGTTTCCATTGCTCTTAGTTCCTATATACATATGCCTTACTATTAGGATTTTTGAAACTTAAAATATATGCATATAAAGTCCGTACTGGTAGAAGTCAACACTGCGAGAGAGGTTCTTCATTTGAGTATTTGTAAAATCAATTTTCCAGAACATTTAGTAACTTCACGTTTGCAAAACCTATTACAAGCTCTAGTCCTTGTTGTCTCAGATCACAAATGTTTTTTTAATGTGTACGTTTGTTTGTTTTTTTCCTAGCTGCTTGAACCTGTCCTTCTCCTGGGCAAAGAACGCTTTGCTGGTGTTGACATCAGAGTCCGTGTGAAGGGTGGTGGCCATGTAGCACAAATCTATGGTAGGATTTTGTGCGGAACCTTCAGTATGAGCTAGAAAAGCTCAAGCCATGTATTGAGAGATGTGAATTCAGATTAGTAACTTGGGTGTCTCAGTGTTCTATTTTTCACCTAATTACTGAAATGTAGTTGTTGAAATGCAGAACTGCAAATATCTAGAATAATTTAAATGAACTAACTTAATGACAAGTCTGAGAAAATTTAAGAAACTGATTTTGGCATCTCACAGCATGGTAGGACTCTTGAAGTGCAGCTGAAAAGAAAGATTTTTGGAAGGGAAAAAGAGAAATTATCATTAGAAATTGTATCTTTAGTCATAAACTTCCAGGTTGTTCGGAAGCATTTTTCATCTGATTGACAAGCTAAGCAGTTCTTTCCCATGCAGACCATTGAGAATGTACTTGTATTAGGGGTTGACAGAGCTGTTTTTTTTACCAATGTTATTCTAGTTTGGGTTTAGATTAATGTGGTGGAGTTGATGCTGCATAGAGCAAGGGCATGTTTCAGTCTCAAACTTGGTAATATTCATTTTTCGGAAAGAATTCCATTTTTCATAAACCTGATCTGGATGTTCTGACAGATGACAGGACAGCATAATCTTTACAGTCACTTCCATACTCTTGATTTGAGTTCCGATTACTGTTAGTATGCTGTGGCTTGTTTTACTGAAGTGTGCTGGAGGAGCTGCTCATGCCATCGTGTTGTTCCTTTTTTCTTCTTAGTCTTCAAGCGTACTTTTCAGCAAGCATATCCTTTTCAGTATAGACATTTCAGAGAATTACGTTTCTAAGCATTTTGAAAATTGACTGCTTGGTAGAGGATGAACCAACATTAGTACTACAAAGAGAAGGTGGCTATTAGCCTTCTGATTTGCCAAGTAAAGGTCACATGGACTGTGGAGAGATTATGGAAGGAAAGGACAATTTGGCAGAAAATGAGACAAGCGAGTTGTTCAAATAGTATTCTGAAATTAGCACTTTCAAGGGTTTGTTTTAAGTTTTAAATGCTTTTGTGGTATCCTTACTGATGCTTCATCTCTTTTAACAGCTATCCGTCAAGCTATTTCCAAAGCATTGGTGGCTTACTATCAAAAATGTAAGTTCATAGTTTTGATTGTGTTACGTTAGCCTTAAATGGAAATGTATAGCTTCTGATCATTTTAATGCAAAAAAAAATGCTAGTCTAGATTAATTCCTGTGAATTCTTAAACGGAAGACTTTTTTGTTCCTATAGATGTTGATGAAGCTTCCAAGAAAGAGATCAAGGATATTCTAATCCAGTATGATAGGACTCTGCTGGTCGCAGATCCACGCCGTTGCGAGTCCAAGAAATTCGGAGGACCTGGTGCCCGTGCACGCTACCAGAAGTCTTACCGTTAAAGTTGTTCTACAATCTTGTGACAGTCAATAAACAGGAAAAGAATTTGATAAATATTTCATGTTTCTTAATTGTCGTTTTTTTTGTGGGGGGGGAGGGGTAAATACCTCTTCCATGTGTGTTACATTCACATTGGCTCACAAATACATAGGTATTAAAATAAAATCGGAGGGCTGTTCTCTTCTAGCCCTACATAGTAAATCTTGATAAACAGTTCAGGGACTCAGGAATAAAAGTAAAGCTTCCTGCTATTGATGAGTGTGTGTTTATCAGAAAATAAAAGTTGTATCCTATTTTTTGCGTATGTGCAACAGCATAGCAGTTGTTAAAGCAGACTTGAACCTTGACTTTTCCTGGAAGTCTAAACAATCATGGACCTTTCTGAGTCCCTGGATGGTCACTCCTCTGGTGTTAAGAACAAAGATCAGTGTCCATGTTTTCTTCCATATGAAAATGTCCATGTCAGCCTGGTTGCGGACATAGTCCATACTGCATTAGCAATGTGGATCTGACTGCTGCCTGCTAACTTCCATGTCTCATCTTAATGTGAGATGCCTTAGTATCAAGTCTTAGTATAATTGTGCGTTAAGTATCTCTAGTGAGCTTGCATATACTTTGTTGTCAGCAGCTGCTATTCTTGCAAAGGAGTTCTGTTTCTATAGTATATTACTTAATCTGAAATACCACTTTGAGAGTGAAATTGCAAACATGTCACTGTGGAATATTAAATGACAATCTGAATGTTGTTTGTTTGCATGAACTGTTTTTGTTTGTGCTTGCTTAGTAGCCAGTGGCAAGTAGTTTACCCCCGAAGGGGGAGCTGCTTCATTGTAGTGCTAAAAGCATGTGTTAAGGCAGCTATTCTAAAGTTGGTATTTCAGTTTGCTTTGTCAAAGCTCTGTGTAACCAGGGTAGTTATACAGTGTACAGATACAGAGAGAGACATTTATTGAAATCTTGCCATACCAGCTATTTCTAGATTTTCTGGATTACTACATACAAATGTAGGAAACTTTTCTAAAATAACAAAGCTAGCATATTTATGCTATAGAAATACTATTTTGTAATTGTACAATATAGAAAAGACTTCATGTTTTACAAATAGTGTTGGGCTGAGATATATTCATCTTTTGTCTACGTGTTCACTCAATGCAAGCAGAAGAGGCTTGCGGACATGGAGAACTAGTATGTAAATAACTTATAAGCAACAATTTTTTTTTTACGTTATGAGATAGGAGAGGCAATTGAAGGCCTTAAGGAAGGCAGTGTGAAAAACACAAAATTGAAAATATGGCTTTGAATATGATAGGATTTAAGACTTAGCTAGGGGACGTGTATCAAACATGAAATGTTCGAGATATTTTTTCAGCCAGTGAAGCTTTGAAAATTTTCATTCTGGAAGTGATCTCCCCTGGGAGAAAGATAAATTAAGCAGAAGCTCTAAGTGAGATATGGGATGTGCCAACAAAAGGCTGTTGGAAAGTTTAATTGTGTCCATTGGAAGAGCTGCATGCAATTGAGTGAGACGTTGGATGTGAGCTGACCCAAGAGACATGTGAATGGCCGTAGATCGTGTTTTTTCCTATATTTGAAAACTGTTTTGGAAAGGAATGGGAAGAAACATTGGAGACTTAATCAACCGAGAGCCTAGCTTCTGCTAGATTGCCCAGTGAGCCAGGTATTTTTCTCTCTATCGTATGCTGTGAACTGTAGTGAACTGTATAGAAGCACCTTGATACTTGAGAGTTTTTTCTTCTAATGTGGGATTTCCTTTTCTCACTTGTTTAATAGTAGGTCATTTCAGTGTACCCAGTCAGCAAAAAGTTAAATTGACTTCCTTTATGAATTGGGTTGAGGAGTTTCTTTCCTTTTGCTCTGATTTAGGAAAATGAGTATGGCTTTTTATAAACATTAACACTTGCTATGATGTATTTTTGCTTTTTCTGTAGAAAGCAGTTGTTTAAAGCTTCTGCTTTGAAGTATAGTTATCCAAGAATCAAACGTCTAACTTGAACAAATCTGTTCTGAAAATGAATTTTGTATCCATCTCCTTTAGCTTTCAGGGTCTACCACAAAATAGTGCACTGTATAACCTGAATAGAAGCAGAAAAGTCTTATTCAAACCTTTTACACTTTCACGGAAGTGGAAGGCACTATTATATATTCTATTACCAATTTACATACCAGGATTTTTTTGTCCCATGCCAAGTGAACAATATTCTATTCTAGAACTTCTTTTTTGGTGTGCTAGGTTCCTGTGTCTTTAGTAGTTTGTTTTCCTCAGTCCCTCCCTCAAATCTGACCCATTTCTCATCCAGTGGTGCCAATATGGAAATCTGTAGTTCCTCAGAGTTTCTACCTTGTAATAGAGTTGCTGATAAAGTATTCAAAGTATTCTCTTGGGCCTGCTGAAAACAGGTAATGTTTCTTAGTTCTGACTTATAGTTTGGCTTTCTAAAGAGAAGATGCTATGCAATTACTACAGCATTTGAGGCTGGGCTAACTTCAAATTTGATTATTGAATTCCTATGAGTTTTGTGGAAACTGGCATCTTGATAGATGTTAATTAGCTTCAGCTGAGGAAAAATACACCTCTGTTTGTTTGGCTCATGTGGTTACTGAAAAGCAGTAGCTCCCTGATTGCTTAGGAAATGTGTACTAGCCTGCCAGTTAGCACATACATAGCATATACTGTGCTGGTCCAAAACTGATTCTTGCTTAACTGTTAGACTAGTCAAATGCAGGGAATACGAGGAACCAGAGTTACTGTGATGTGAAAGTCATGGGGAGATAAAATACCCTAGGCGGTAACTTAAGAGATGTTTTCAGAGTCATGGGGAAAACAGATTTATCAGTTCTGTTGCTCACAGAACGGCTTGTAACAACTGGAGATTTTTGTGTTGTTGCTCTCTTAAGGAAAGGCTGAAAATAAAACTTGCAATGTTACTGATATATCCAGTGATAATATCTCTGTTTTTTCTTCAAACAAAAAGCTCTTAACATAATAAAAATGCTTTCTGAACTTAATTCTGATCCTATGAAAGTGCCCTGTTAATGCTGTAGAGTGATGTCATTCCCACAGACTTGTTTTCCAAATCTGAAATGTTAGTGGAAGTGGGCTGGCCTCTGCCTGGGTGGTGAAGGGCTGAATTTTTTTTTTCTAAATGGCTATTTGATGATTAACCACTAGAGGGCTTTATTTCACTGGGGAAGTTAAACTAACGTGCAGTAAAAGCAGTAGGAAGATGTAATAAGACAAAACTTGTTCATAATGTTTCCTTTTCTGGTGTTCTTGATCTCTGCGGCTGGCAGTCAGCTCTTCTGAGCATCTGCTCTGGATGATGTGACCATATCCAGCCACCCTTCCACAGAGAAGTGCCAACAATTAGATCTTCAATCTAATGAGATTTTTGAGCAGCTGTGGAGGTAGTTCTTGGAGCAGAAGAAATGCTCCTAATGTTGTGTGGTGCAGCTCGTTCATTAGCTGATATTAATCCTTAGGAAAATCAGACCTACATATCAAAATGTGCCCCTAACTGAACTGTCATCGAAAATACCAACTCAATGAAGATGAACTCCAAAAAGTATAATTTATTGTTGAGGACAATCTATCCAGATCCCAAACAAGAACTTGAACCCATGTCACTGAAGGCTGTTCTGTTCTCACCCATAGCTATCAGTCTTGGTAAACTGCATAACCTGTATATAAAATTAAGCTGATAGTGCTGTTACTATGTTGGGATCTCTAGGCAAATTAATTTTGACTGTAATATGTAAATTTATAAACATTGGGAAGTTTTTATTTTTAAAGGAAAGTGTACAACTTAAACGTCACACCTGTATTTTTGTTTTTAATGTAAGCTAGTATGTGTTCTCTGTGTTCATTTTCTTACTAATGTGATTATTTTCTAAGGCACAGTTTTTCTGTTTGAGTTTTTTCAGAAGTCCCAATCTGTGAGCATTCTACTACTTGTGTCGCTGACGAATGTCATTGCCTGGGTATAATTTGATTCAAAAAAATGTTTTTTGATTTCTTAATATATTCCTATGAGTTACGGTTCAGTGTACTTGGCTGAATAATTCTTTTTCCTTATTAGCTAACATTCTTAATGCCTTTGGAACTGTGCTATTTCCTACCCTGCCTTGAGCACTGATGCCTTAATGAAACCTATTGCTCTAACTCTTACCAAGCCCCTTTACAGCTTGGCCTACTTTTTAAGTATCAGAAGTTAAATTGTGAAATACTAACGTGCACCAAATGTTCCCTCAACTTAGTTTCAGAGTGATTGTGAAAAAGGCTATTTAAAATAGTTCCTGTTGAACCAAAAGTGCCAGCTTACATTAATGGAAAGACTTATCTGTGAATCTGTGTATGAAGCATAATGTGAAATATGGGCTTGGGACATGGAAGAATACCAGATAAGATTTCTTAACTTTTTTGATTCTGAGATGGTGAACCAGTTTTAGCTTGAAAATACAGTAGCTAAGAAACCAGTGGTGGAATCTGGAAGCTGTAATGCTGGATTAGGCAACTACAAGTCACTGTCATCTAACAATAAATTTACAGGAGCGTGGTAAATTTAATTAGTCTCTGCCACCTTCTACAGGATAGGTGCCTACATCAGTGTCTGCACTGTATGAGTATGACTACATTAGTGTATTAATTTGGATCAGGAGTTCACTTCTGCTTTGGTTTGCAGCATGGAGTGATTTTGGAGCAGATGAAACTAAACTGGTGGATGCAGTCCAGCTGTTGATAAGCATTCAATCCATGGGACTAGCCTTGAGCTAGTCAGAAGTAAAAACAAAACAAAAGTCCTTCTGAAACATGTACTGTGTGGATGTTAGCTTTTCAATCCACCTTTAATGATCTGCAGTACCCGCTGATGTAGGCATGGCTCGTACCACCGTCTTTAACAACAGGCAGAAAAGCAAGATCTGTGTTTTGTCTTTACCTATTCATGCAGATATAACTCAAGTTATCCCCTTTGATCAACTGCAACATATTACTGATACTTGCAGGCAGATAACTGTTCAATCCTCTGCTCCAAATTCAGAGCTACCAAGGCAGATGACAGAGCAAAGACTAGTGAAGAAAGGCTTCAAGCTAGGAAATATGTTTGCTTTAGGATTTATGGAATAATGAAACACAAGATGGACAGATAATACATTTCAGGAGCTCTTTGGTAAATACTTACTTGGAGAGGTTGCCTGTTCTCCCTTGCCTTCTCTTTTAGGCCAGCTGGAAGAGGAGGAGAGAGAAAATTAAAAGAATTGATGGGAGAACTTTTCACCTGAGACGCCATCAAGTTCTGAATTTGCTTTGATCCAAAACAAAACTTTGTCAGATTCTGTGAGCGTGCTACAAAACACATCCTAGGAAGAATGGAGAGAGGCTTTATAAATAAAACTGGCGGTAGTAGTAGTTTCAATAAGCAATGCATGACTTTAAAATTCCACTTATTTAAAAAGTGGATAATTTTATTAATTTTTAGGGTAAAGTGAGAAAGACTTTTATATTTTAATGATGGTCATGTTTAATTTTTGGTGAAAATATAAAATATATTTTAATGGAAAAGTAGGAATAAAACCTGTTAGCCTGGCTCGCTTGTCTCCTTGTTGCCAATGACATTTCCAAAACACACTTTATTAAAAATGAAATGTAATTATCTCCTGGGAAGTTTCCTTTTGTGATATAAGGAGACTAAATGCAAAAAAAGTATTTATAAATATTCCTCAAAATCCAGGTGTGATATTTAATGGAAGTTTATGTCTCTCATTTTAGAACAGATCAGGGACATATAACCAAATTGTTTTTAGAGATTACCATCTTAATACTTTCTACAGTAACACTGTAGCAGGTTCTCACTAAAAGTTTGCACTGCAATAAAATGTACAAAGGGCAGAACTCTTGACGCAAGTCTTGAAGCACACAAAGGTGAAATGACGACTGAAGGGAACTCTCAAACCGTCATGACAAGGCAAAACTTCGTTCTGTTTCATTGTGTGCTATGTTATAAAGGGCTGATTCAATTCAATAGAGGAGTAATACTTGCGGGTCTAGCGCAAGTGTAACTAATACAGACTGCTGAGGAGTTACCATGCATTACTAATGAGAGACATGCAGCCAGAAAGTTGTATGCAACGTTTGCAAAGCTCCTGAAGCTGTATGTGGCTACCAAGCTTGATGTTTTCTTTTCTTTTTTTTTGCATTGTATAGTTTTACATAATGAATCCATCTATCTAATTTTTAAAGGATTTAAACACGCTGTAGAAATACACAGTTCTAAGATGCCATCATAATCAAAGCCATTCATTTGCATAAATTCTTTGTTTATAAGTTATACTGAAATGACCATTGTGGGAAAGCTCAATTTAATGATACCTTGGAGCATACTCTTGATTCACTCTCTGCTGTTCTTTTTGCAAGGTAAGAACTTTACTCAATTTTTATGCTAATACTAACTTTTAAAAAGATTTTTCTAAATATTTTAGTAGTACATCTACTTCTTTTTCTATCATTATAAGAAACATTTTTTTGCTCCTCACTGGAGTTGAAAAAATAACACCAGTTGAAAAACTATATATCACCATTTTCTCTGACTACTGTTGAAAACAAAATATATCTTTTATTTTTTAAAAAAAGCATTTTTAAGCTTGAATTTTATCACACAATTATTATTGAATAACTAAATTTTCTAGGCTTTCTTGTTGTTCTTGTCAGATGAGTGAACAGATAATGATTTTGAATAGGGTATGAATTGATGAAGCGCAGGCTGCACCTGCAATTTGTTTGAACGTTATTAAATCTCTAGAATAAATAATCACTGTTCTGGTTATAGAAACTATCCAATTTTTTTTATCAGGATATGTGCTGCAAATGGATATTGTAAACAATTTCCTTGGAGCAATTATAAAGATTTCTAAGACAATATGAGAAAGCAGGCAATTTCTAAGAAATGTGCAGAATCTGGAGTGTTTTCAATGGATTGCAATCGAATTTTATAAGTAACAGTCAGAAAATTATTATAGGTAGCTGCACTAGAAATTTGATTCTGGATGGCTCTGAGCATCTCTTGTATTTTATCAGTTTTGGTTTGATCCTCTGAATAACTACGAGTTCCTAGCTCTTTTTGATGGTAGTATGGAGCAGAGCTGAGACTGTAAATTTGCAGATAATGAACAGCTGAGAGAAGCTCTCAGGGAGGAAATCATGTTGTGCTAAATCCCTTGGGAAGATGAAAAGTTTATGTAAAGATTCTCTGGAAAATATAGGATCGTTAGCTATTTTTTAAAGATAAAATTCACTAGTGCTGTTTTAAACTTAAGAAATTCTTGTTTGTCAAATGCAGAGTGGGACTGTAGAAAAACCAAATTAACTCAATGATTTTTAATCTACAGGATCTTATTGCAAGTTCTCTCTTTTGAAAAGAACCTCAAGGTAGGTTTTTATTCCTTATTTGTCAAGTCCTACAAACAGAACAAGAATGAATAGGGCTCAGCTGGTACAGTACAAGTTAGGAAGTAGAATGTAGTCTTGAATTTGGCATGTAATTTTTAGTAGCTTGGATGTAAAAATGTGCTTTTAGAATGTTTACAACTCTTCTCAAAGAATTTACATAAAGGCCATGGATCCTCTTTTTGAAAAATGGAGGTACTTAAGAAAAATGATGCTCCTGTGGTCTCAGGAGAGTTTAGAGGAATCATGGAATGAAATTAGGGTGAGGTCATTATTTCATGTCTGGAAAAATACATTAAATGAGTATCCTCCTACAGTTTTAATTGCATGATAAAATCCTAGCTGCTATTTGAAGCACAAAAGAGTAAGTGCTATACAGCCTTAAAATAAACACTTTCAATACAAGTTTTTGTGTAGAAGATGAAATCCAAACAAAACCCAAACTAGGGAATGTTCCTGATCCCATTGAATTAAATGGGAACTATGCCATCGGTTTCAGTAGAAGTGTCCAGTTGCACATAGCTTTGGGTGTCTAATGACTTCTAATACATCTAGTGAACACAAACGCATATTAAATGATAATAACATCTTGGACTGTTGATAGTTAGTGGTAAATTACAGCTGGAGAGTCATCTTTTGCTTTTAAAAGTACCATCACAGTGTATTTAAATAACACTTGGGAGAACTCACTCTTACACACCCACAGTTGAGTACGTATGAAGCAACTTTACAGTTTTGTATCCTGTTATATAAGCCTATTTTGCTCATATTCTCTCCCCTGTAAGCCCCATGTACCTCCCGGAACAAGCATCCCATGTCTGGGATCCTCATCCGATGTCAAGGATCGGACCGCAGTTGAATTCTGCAAAATGAGACCATGAAAAGAAAAGAAAAGAAAAAAAAATCACCTTTTAAAATGTTAACCCAAGAAAGACGTCTTTGATACAGTGATGGAAATCAGAGAGAAACACCTCCCTCTGGGGAACTGCTTATTCAGGTTGCTCCAGGGACCTTGGATTATACAAGATCCTTTTTGTTTTTTTCCAGAAATGAGTTTAATGCAGCTCGACAGAAGAGAGATCTCTTAGCAGCAGAGGTAGGTTATACCTCCGAAAGAGCGAGAGAGGGGAAACCCTCCCCCCCTTTCTGCTCCGGGGCTTTGCTCTCCTTACAATGGAGTCTTTGTAAGGAGAACAGCAGCGGTAACAATAGGACAGTCAATAGGACAGTGAGGAGGAGCAGCTCTTCCATACCTGCTTGCCTCAAACTTAAACCCATGGCCTTTGTTCATTCATTCTTTCATTCTCAGCAAAATGCTTCATGAATTACGCTCCCTGACTAACCGACAGACACACGCCATGGGAAATAAAAGCTCAAGTCTTCAGTCTTTTGTGGAGGCAAACAGAAAGCCCCAGAAAGTTGTTAGTGTTTGATGAAAAGCACAGTAATGAAACTAGAGACGAGGGTCCTGCAAATGGTGGTGTTGCCATGGTGGTGGCCGCTGCTCGGCCCGAGTTCCCGCAGCGCCGGCCTGCAGCTTGGGGGCTGTCCCACCCCACTACCAGCTTGGGGTCGCATGCTGCAACCTGTGCAGGTGATGGTAGGCTGAAACTGAGTAGTAAATGGGGGAAGCTCATTCCTCTGGGTTGGTCAATATTTCGGGCTGCAAAGCCGGAGCAAAGTTCATCACCGCTGTTCTGCTGCAGGGGTGGGGAGAGAAGTCCAGAGCGGTCTCTCTGCAAGGCACCTTGCTGCGGTCGTGCAGGCAGTCTGAGGCAGAACCAGAAACGGTTTTCTCCGAGTCCCTTTGCTGCGGATTTACGTGTCTCTCCTGAGTGGGTCATAGTGTTGCCAGTGTCGAACATAACACTAAGGTCAATCAAGTCTATTTTCCTTACTAGAAAAATGCATTCTTCTCAGGTAAATGGGCTTTGGTGACCGACTGTGTTCCAGAAGGGGATTCAACAGGGAGTTAGTGTCCAGCAGAGATGATGTGCCTTAAAAATAATGCACAGGCAAAAAACTGCTTTGCTGAGGAGGCCTGCCTCAGAGTAACTGAATACAAGTAACAGAAATTGCTGGTTTTGTCTAGTGAAGATAAGGAACTGTTCTGGATAGTGATGAGCCATGGGGACTAAGAGTAATTGTTTGCTTTGAAGTGGGGACCCTTCCCGTTTGTGATCTGGGTAAGTCAATTCCAGATTGATTTTTCGCCATAAAAAAGGCAAATTCTGCTGCTTGGATGCGTCAGATAAAGTATTTCCAGTGGAAAAGGGGAAGTATTTATGTCATTGTATAAGGCATTAGCGAGACTTAATCTGAAGTGTTTATTGCACAGTTCTGTGGTACACTTTGAGATCCATTAGTTCAAACTCCAAACATGGAGAACGGATAGCAAGGAGAGCCAAGAGAAAAGTATCTTAAAAGCGAAGGCTTAAAGAGTTTGTTTCGCTGGTTGTGCAGAGGAAGGCTGGCCTATACGTGTGTGGGGAGCATGGAGGGGTAACCGTTTTCTTGTCAATATGTCACAGAGGGACTAAATAAAAACACAGGATAAGAGCTGTTCAAGCGAAAGGACAGAGCTATATAAAACCAAAAGGGTATAAAATGGCTATGGACAAATGCAGGGGGGAAATAGCTAGCTAGCTAGCTAGCTACCCAGCACTTCACCCTGGTAAACTTCCCAATCAGACTAGTGGGGGCAAAAACCCCAAAGTGCTTCTCTGAGGGAATTTGATCCGTTCTCAGAAGGGACAATAAGACGTGAGAAACTGCAAGAGCAGGGTGTTGGACCGGATCCAGGAGCTCCTTACAGTCCTGTGCTCCCCAATGCCTGAGCGTAGGCAGGAAGCAGATCTGGCGGATTGACGTTCATCCTAAACAAGAGAGGAGAAAAATGGGATTTTTGAAGGATTCCAGGGAGGAGGCAAAAAATCCTTCAGAGCTGAAGTGGCCACGGTCTGTCGATAGGGACACAGCACAGAGTATGAGTTCGGGGACAAGAAGGGGGAAAAAAAGGAAGGCTACCGCCTCCTCAAACTGTCCAGCTACGTCTGTAAGCACAATGAAAAGGGCAGGTAAGTTCTCCGGCCCCCTCACTCTTCAGCCTAAATCTAAAAGCAAAACCTTCCCCCGCTGCCCCCAGAGCCCAGCGTGTTCGTTCGCGCTGGCGACGCGGAGGGCGACGACCCTGCCAGGCAGCTGTCATCTTCCCTTTTCGCCTTTTACGTTTCTCCGGTAGGTTCGCGCTGCCTCTCCTCGGTCTCGCCTTCGTGAGGCCTTCGGCCGGAGCCCTCCACCAGGTCAGTACTGTGGCTGTGGCCGCGAGCAGGGCCGGCCTCGCTGAAAACGCAGCCCCGGGAGCTGTGTGTTATGGGAGTCCTGATGACGCTTATATCCCCTACGAAACCCAGCCGCTAACTCATTTCCTCACCACAGCTTCTACCTGTGAAATTGTGGAAAACGTCTGTTAAAATGTACTTTTCAAGTAAGGACTTAGAAGTGAATCTGAGCAGCTAACTAAGTAAAACCTTCTTTTTAAAAAAAAAAAAAAAAAGTTTATTTACACGGGCAGTTTTTCTCTTGCGTCGCTTTTTCGGGCCTTGGCAGCGGATGTAAGTAGGCACGCGACGTAAAGGGCGGGCAGCGCCCCGGCGGCGAGCGCGCCGCTGCTTCCAGAAGATTCTAGGCACTGTACGAATGCTTTCAGGCAAGTTAAAGCAGTGACTTTACAGACCTTACCGGAAGGTTCACTGAACAAGAGCGAAGTTTAGTACCCTCTTTGGAAAATATATATCCTTGTGTAGGTGCTTGCTGTTGTGGTTCCCCCTCCTCCCCCCAGGTGAGTGAGCGTATGCAACTTTATAGCTCACAAATTCTGACAAAAGGGTGTCCCGTGTTAATGCAGTTTTATACATGGTATTTTCTGCCTTGTCCGTGTTTTCAGAGCATCTGCGTGTACTGGAAAAGCAATTTTTAAATGGAAAAAATGCAGAACTAGGCTTGAAAAGCAGCCTTCACAGTGAAGGCTGACGCTCTGAACCAGTGCTCGCTTCTGTATACGCTCTACTGTAAAAGTCCAGTTTTGGTCCCATTTATGTCACTGCCTGCTTTACTGTGGGTTCATTCTGAGTGGAAGGGCCTGCTTATTTTATTTACCACCTCCTTTTTGCGGTGCTTTTTAATCTGTGTCACATTGTAAGTGTTTACATTTTGTAAGGGTTTACATTTTGCCCCAAGAGGGAAAGGAACTGCCCACAAAACCTGCTAAAATTTTGGTTTGGGACTCCCTTTCTCCTCTGCGTTTGGGGAGCTGTGACTTAGACCCATCTTAGTGAATATGGTTAGTAAATGACAGTGAGGTCTTAGCTTCTGAGCAGAACATAAAACCATTTAATGAAATTACTTTTAGAAACGATCACTAACGTAAAACAAGCCATTCCCATGGAATCTTAAGTCTCTGGCTCCGGTCACCTCTTAAGCAGAAATAACCTTTTAACTGACTTTTTTTAGCATGCAGGGAAGGTTATTTATAACTGGTTTTGACTTTGTAAGTTACATATTCTCTAGACTGTTCATAAGCGTTACAGCAAAGGGTACATTAAGCATAGGAGGGAGGAGCTGAACATATGTATAAATTGTACTGAATTCGGTCAATTGGAGTAATCTGCATCCTGTGTATTTCTAGATCAGGACGACTGGGATTTGGTTTCTTTACATGGGAACGTGACCTTTTGTTTGCTGGGAGGAGGTTGACCTTTTGCTCCTTTGTTAGTTTACAAGTCTCAAACTGGGAAAGAGAGAACCTCTGTTCTCTTTTAACCGAGGAACACCAAGCTGAAAATCAAGTAAAGGTTGAAAACTAAAGATTGCTGTTGGTTAATTTTCTTACCTAATATAGCTGCGTATGATTTAACAATAAATAAATAGATGTAATCTGAGTCTCTCAGGCCGTTTGCAAAATACTGTATCTACTAAAAGGCTGCTATGCTTGCTTACAGCTTCTTGTCCTCAGGAGTGCCTTAATGGAGCAGTCTGTACAGAGGCAGGTGAATGTGATTGTCAGATATTTCAGGCTCAAGGAAACAGGTGCCAAATTGGTAAGTTTTGGGCCAAAAGAAATGAGTAGCAAGTTCAGCTGAGATTTAAAGTGCAGCTTGTAAAAACAGTACAGCTCACAGCACACTTGTGATTCCTTTGTAGTTGGACCGTCATTCAAGTAGTAGCAAAGAGGATTAAAATTGTATATCTTATAGAAATTTATAGAGCAACATCAGGAATGTCTGTTTTTTAGCATTTGGGCTCTAATGATACATAGATACCATACCAGATAGACTGGTACATCATCAGCTGTCAAGCTTTTTCTCATTTAACTGCATAACCAAAAAGCCACTGCATGTTTCTAACAGTGTCTTATTGCAAATAAAATGATCAGCTCTTCCAAAGCACCGCTTTCTGGAATCTGCTGTATGTAGGGATCAGCAAGAATCATGTTCTAGCTTCTGCTGTAAATCAAACCCTTTGCCTCTACTTACAGTTAGAATGCCCCACTGAAACCATTTCAAAACTTAATGATGTTCTCATATGACTAAAACTGCAACCAAAAGATTAAAAAAAGAAAATTACTGACTTTGTTTGAGGTTGAAGAAATGAAATCCTCTTGTCCTTGCTGTATATTTCCTTTATAAGCTCTTATTTCCTTTAAAAGCTCTTACTTTTGTACATGCCTGTGAAAATTTTTGACTAGTGTGCTTGTTACAAACTGTGTTTTCTGCAGTACCTAACAGTGGTAAGGACCGAGATGGGATTTGCAAATCATGGGGACAGTACCATTTTGAAACATTTGATGGCATCTACTACTACTTCCCAGGAAATTGCTCCTACGTTTTGGCAAAAGACTGCAGCACTCCAGAACCCCAGTACACTGTTTGGGTATGTATATGAGCATGCGTTAGAAATAAAACATTTAGTATTCCTGTATTACAGGACTTGCATTTCCTCATTAGTAATATAAGTAGAGAGACAATAAATGGATTAAAATGTTGCTTTATTTATTTGGATTTCAAAATGTACTGCTGGAAAATGTCTAAGCATATGTGCAGTAACTCAAAACACTGATGAAATGCTAATTAATCAACAGAGTCAGTATAACAAAAATAGTATTTCTTACTCCCTCTATCCTAAAAAAGGATCTCCGATCTCTCCTTTCTGGGAAATCCTGTGTAGGAAAAAAGGGTCCTAAAGCAGACCTTGGAAACGCAATAAATTTTAGCTGTCAGCTTGTAGAAACAAGTGAGTTCTTGAGTAAAGTGCAAGCAGCAGTCATGGGCCTGATAATTTGGCACCCAAGCGTACTAGCCCTGCTATTCACCATTGTCAGCGTGCTAGATAGGGAGCTGCTTCAACTGGCCAGTGGAAAACTCTATCCCTTCTGGGAATTTGGGTTCTAATTTTGGATTTCTTCCTTGATATGCAGAGAAGATTAACAGCTCAAAAGCCTTCACCTTGACCTATGGATGGAAAGCATTCTTTTTAATAATTTCCTCAAACTGCTGGATGTCCATAGTTAATGACTTTGGGATCAGGGAGAGTTCAAACGTATACCTTTTTTGTAGGAAGATATCCTAATTGCCTGGCCATTGGTTACTGTGGGGAAAGGACATTAGCTAATTATGTTACTTTCTACAGAGTGGTCAGAATTCACTATTGATTGGGCAGGAGAAGAGGGATCGGGGGGGAGGGGTCCTAATTTTAGACACGGGTGATCAATGCTCACAAGGGCAACAGGAGATCTAGATTCTGATTCTGCACCAAAGACTATTTTTTTTATTTATAAACACATGATCTCACCTCCAAAAATAGCATCTAGTAAAGGTTAATCTGATAGAACTGCCATTTCAACTCAGTTTATGGACAGATGCTGTTACATCTGCCCTCCATCATTTTAAGTCTTTGGATTCTGTGTGCAGCTATGCTCTTTTACAAGTTTTCGGAAAATGCTATAGCAAAACCCAAGATTATATTTAAATTTAGAATCAGTATTTCCATGGCTTCTGCTTACCTTAAGAGAGAAATTGCCATTCAATTGCTGGAACAAATGTCATGCTTTGTTGAAAACTGCAAGCGTTCATTCAGAAAAGTCATGGGTAATGACGAAGCACTACAATCAACTGCAAACATCTAATTTCAGTAATATAAGCAGAAACATTACAAGCTGGGCGATAGAGAGCCAAGAATCTTGCCAAATCCTTATGTTATGGCCGTAATGTTCTGGTTTTAATAGCCCACCTCTCTGGAAAAAAAGAAAATATTAGAATTATTTTGCTTTTCTTTGATCGTATTTCTGGCTTACGACAGGTTTACATAAAAACCTTCTGTCAATACTAGTACCGTTTATTATGTCTTTAATTATGAATTTCTTTATACATGTAAAATCCTTAATGCTTTTACTGGTATGCTTTATTTTGCTCAGAGACAGTAACTTTTTTTCCTTCCAGAGTTAAGAGTCTAGCTTAAGAAGATTAGTTAGTGTATGTGTTAGCACTGTGTGTTTACCAGCAGATCTTTTCTGTGAAAACCATGGCTGTAGTTACTTTTACAGCCTCCATTACTGTGTTGGCAAGATGTTTCAGAATTACTAATCTGTTTAATTTAACAGCACTGTCATGTAAACTGGTAACACCACTCACCCTTCTCAGAGAAAGCTGAGGCACAGAGACATAAGAGTCATATTTAAGTTATCTAAATTAGGTCTATATCTTAATTTTGGCAATGATAAGTACCTAAGATTCACAGCATATTCTTACATGTTCTCAGTGGTGTCCAAAATAAATCAGTGCACACACTTAGAAGCATTGTAGTCTAGGGATTTGCACAGGTTTGGGTGTCTCAGCTCCACTGAGGTTGGTGGAAAGTCCTCAGAGTTTTGCCTAGGCCCTTGGAGGTATGTACTCAGAACTCAGTCTATTGTGAATTTAATTCAAAACTGTATAATAGCCTTTTAATCAGAGCATATGCACAGAAAGTGAGAGACCTAAATTCTTATCTTCAATTAAAATAAATTTGAACCCAGAGCTTTCATGTCCTGAGAGCATGCCCTGGCCAGCAAAAGCTGTATGGTCTCTGGGGACAAGGATATTCCCTCACTGCCTCGCTGGTGCTCTGGCAGGCTGCAGGCTAGGAGCGGGAAGGAAGTCTGATTTTTAAGGGTGGCATCCTTTTTGCCAAAATAAAAAAAGGAGGAGTGCTGGCTTAAGCATACCTGTTGCAAGGTCTGGTTATACTTTTTTTTTTTGAGAGAGGGATCTACTTCATTACCGTAAAACTGTAGATATGCTGCTGTTAGTGAGATAGGAGTTTCATAGCTTTAATTTCTGAAAGTATGTATCTGAGATCTGTTCAATCCCTCTCCCTGATAGTAGGCAGTCATGGAAGTCACATACTGCCAATCTCTGTGAGACTCGGTTTTGAAAACCTGTGTTCCGCTGAGTGAAACTTGTGTTTCTTTGTAAAGCTCTTTGGAATCTTCAGTGATTAGTGGGTATAATTATAAATGAAAAATTACATGAAATTGTTAAGAACAAACATTTATTGTTGCTGTGTTTTTCCTCTCTAAGGTTCATAACAGTCCTCACTGTTACGGTTCAGTATATTCTTGTCTGAGGTCTATCAGCTTATTTTTTTCAAACCAAGAAGAAATAATTATTTCAGGACATGAAGTAAGAAAGGAGGGAATTAGGTAAGTGTTCCACTAGTGTTTTTTAACATGTTGTTGCAGAAAGATAGTATAGAGTTTGGGAAATTAATGCTTTTTACACCAGCTAGAGAAAATAATTGGATATATTTTTATTGATTCCTGAGTGCTCTATATTGGGGCTAATAGAGTTCTAATGTGAGTATGTGTAATGCTGCTGATGTAATACCTCAGCTGGGATGCCATACGCTTTCCACACGAAACTCATTTCGGCTGAGAAGTTGAACATCTAACATCTCAACAGAGTATAGATGAGGTCTGCATCAGGCAAATCTAATTAATCCCTAGTGCATCCAGATACCATTTTGAACGTGGCAGTCGTTATTTGTGCTTGGTGTGTAGCTATATTTAATGTAAGACATATTCCTCTTATAGCCAAGTCTAGATTGATTTAATTAAACATCTTAAGTACCCTGTATGTCATAATCTGAGGCAAAAAAGTTCAAGGTACCTCAACTCTGAACTCTACCCATTTTTTTTATTCCAAATGAAAAAGAGAGTAGAAGGCTATCATGAATATGTTTTAATGGTTGATCAAATACAGAAAACTTCAAAGACTTGTTCAGGTGTTCCAGCTTTTCCTGCTGTCTTCTTTTGATGTGGTAACGCTATAGCTGTTAGATCTGAGACTGATGGCTATAGTGATGCTGCCATTCATCCCAACAGCAGCAGCTTTGGAAAATAGTAATTAGATCGTGCTGCAGTGTTGTTGTCCAGCAGTCTTGGGCTAAAGGAGGAAGATATACAATACTGTAGTCAAGGGTATATTTCATACTGCAAGTTTTCCCATTTGCAGAGACCTAACCCAAGTACTCTGTGCCCAGAAGGGTTGCTGGCATTCACCACACTGAGAGCTCTGACCACAGTGTCACGGTGCTAGTGAAGTCAATGTATTCCTCAGTGTGCCCATGCTGGGGATTAAAAATGGAGCTACGTTATTTTAGGCTAATAATTGGTACAACTGATAGATGTATGCAGCAGAAGAGTGTTCGCTTTTGATCATTGGTATTAAAAAAACAACAGAAGAAAGGATAGTAAAAGCATGAGGAAAAATTGAATGGAAATGATTATACACCTGGAAAAAGGGTTTAATGAGTTAGAAGGTGTGTTTTGTTTTTTTTTTTTTTAATCTGGTATTTTTCTAGCACTGACCTCATCACATCTGAGATCTTTGAAACAGGGTGTTTATTTTTCCAGATTAGCATTGCCTCAGACAGTTGAAAATGTTTTCCTTGAGAGATTGGCTGACTACATTCTGGTGAAAACTACCTTTGGTTTTTCGCTTGCTTGGGATGGAAACTCTGGCATTTATATTAAGCTGACAGAAGATCATAAGGGGAAAACTTGTGGCCTCTGTGGGAATTTTAATGGCAATAAATTTGATGACCTGATACTACAAAATAGTAAGTAGATAGCTTAGAAATACGCTGTTACCCTGTGAGAACAGCTTCACTTTAAATATATTACTGTAAAAAGAAATATTCTATTTTCTATTCTATTCTAGCAAATGGAATTTCTACTCTATTCTTCGTCATTGTTAAAGATGTTAGGGAAAAAGGTCTCAGTTCAAGAAAGTATTTATGTGTATGCTTAAAAGTCTTTTCTTGCTCAGCAAAGCACTTGGGGTATGTTTATCTTAGTTGATGAAAGTGCCTTCAAACAATAAATAAATAAACAAATGCTTGTGGTTTCCTCTATGTTTAAGGGGAGGAGGAGGAGGAGAGAAGAGCCAAAATATTAATATTTGGAAAAAGCATAATCTTGAGTCATTTGTTTACGTGACCATCATGAAAATATTAAAGTATTAGTCAGAGCTGTTTCGGGGAAGCTCCTTGTACCTCTTTGTTCCTAAGCTGTAGCCTGGGCTTCCTACTGCCCTGTAGGATGAGGAGTTGCTCAACACCGTGATTTTGTTGCAATAGAGGAAGAGATGATTTGCTAAGCTGATAAGAGTATTACATAGTCTTTCTAGTTTTTTATAGAGAATGTTCTATAGGGACCTTTGTAATTATTTATTTATTTACGCTTTCTGCCTGTGTTTTCAACTCACAACTAATGTAGCAAAAAAAGAACCACCTTTGGAACTTGAGGAAAGCTTTTTTTTTCAATCCCTGAAAATAAAGATAACAGGACTAATTCTACTTTTACCATTAATTGCTGAGAGAATTTAGTCCCTTGCCCTTGTGTATTCTTAAGCCACAAAAGTTATCTCACTGTTATTTCTCCCCTCACCCCCTTTTGGTAGCTAAGTGCTTTTTGGCTTTTCGAGTGATGGACGAAGTAATCTAGTTATCTTTGTAGAGGCTTTACATTTTTGCCTGATAAAAAATTTTCATCTCTTCTGAGGTGAAAGCAGTAGTTCCTTGTTTCAGGCATTAACATTTGCACACCATAATGTAGTATGTTTAATAACTAATTAAAACTATTAATTTATTATAAGGAGAAAATTTGAGTTTTGAGGAGATAATGAATTCACATGCTTTCTTAGAAAATAATAATTTCAATGTCTTGAAATGTCCTATCTATTGTAAAAGACTTAGCAGGAACACAGCTCTTAGCTTTCTTCATTTCCAGAGCTACGTTTCTTCATCTTCGTTTTTTCTAGCATTTTTCTTCAACAGAAATGATAGCATTCTTCTACTGTACAACCCAGAGTGTTACGCAATATTTTAAACTTGAAGCACTTTTATAACATGGTGCCTTGACTCTGTTTCTGCAAGTAAGAAGGAAAAAGTTCTAGTACTTTCACAAGAATAGACTGCTAATTCAAAGTACTTCTAAACTGCAATATTTGTGTAAGTGTTCCCAAATCTCATAAATCATCGGGGATGATGATTTGTCTCCTACAGCTAAACCAGTAGTGTATGGGAAGCTCTTATATCTGTGCTGAATCTTGTAGATACGCGTTGTGTTCTTGGGACTGGGAGAAAGCCTTGGACAACTCTGGCTCAACCAAAGATCCTGGCTGAGCTGTAATAAAGGTGGATATTAGCTATAGATTCCAGTCTACTAAGAAGTTAACCAGATCTAAGAATTCATCTTTTCTCCTTGTGATTAAAATAAACTGCTAGATACTGTAGGAGAGGTGGAAAAATATAAGAAAGTTGTATTGTTAGTATTTCTGAATGATCTGTATGCGCATTGCCCCAAATAAAGAAATTACTGAGAGGTAGTTAATACTCCATTTCAAAGTACAGTTTTAAAATTAACTCTTTTTCTGTCTCCTTAATCGTCATTTTCAATTTTTGTATTACTTTTCATATGTGATACTGTATCTGTGTATAGAACTATTTCAAGTATAGTGATTTTATTTTGCAGTGTTTTTTGAGGATTTAGAACTTTTCTCAAGCCACGTCCAAATGAAGATAAAATGTTTTTAATGTTTTTGCAGAAGTGGAGTTATGTCAAGGGATTCTTTTAGATCAAAACTCAACCTTTTATGTTTGGGAAGGATTTTTTTAATGTAAAGAGCTCTTTCGTCAGAAAGGGAGAAATGTTTTCATTCTCTCTGGCTCTTAGGTCAAATAGATTGGTGGCTAGGATGTTAGCTTTGTGTATTGTGGAGATCCAAGTACAAATATCTGATTATTGATCTTTGGAGTTTTCCACATTCCAGAGTATCAGACTTTATACGTCTTGTACTGGAAAAAGGTTAGATTAAGTTTTTGACAATACATCTTTGTGACAAAACTGTAGCTGATATCATGTCAGCATCCTATCTCCTAATCACGTTGAATAGCATAGATATCAATTACTGTAATATTCTTCACGGCAGAGAAAATCCACCTTTTTTGCCACTCTTAAGAACTTACAGAAAATGTCATATTTAGTTCTTGGTGCAAATCTATACAAATCCTGGGTTTGTTTTCATACTGCTAACTTTCTTTTACATTCTTGCATTTTCATCGCCTTTTGCCATGACTTTAAATTGTGCTGCAGTGTTTCAAATCTCATTCATTCATTCTCCCATCCTCATGCTCTAAGAACTGAGGGTGTAGCATTGTTTTTGTCTTAGGGCTTTTTTGCCCTTAGGGAAAAGAAGGGAGATAACAGTGCTAAATGACCTTTATGAAACATGATGAAAGACTTAAATTGTTTTAAAGAATTATATTTCTTCTTAAATATACAATGCATTACACTTGTCCTTATTTGTACATTTGCTATGAAATTTCCCTGATCACATTTAAAACCCCCAAAACATCTTAACATATCATTTTCAAATCTTTTTATTGAAAAGTAGGCTATTACCTGTAGAATATTACCTGAAATTAGAAGGAAAAAAAGAAGGGTCACCTTTTTTACACCTCGAAAGCCTGAATATATCTGTAACTGAAGTAATGAATACACTTAAAAACTACCAGAAACTTCTGGGAGGTCGTTTGTGTTGCCAACATTTTTTTTTTCTTTTGATGGATTTTCTTCAATGTTTTCATGTAGTAGGTGAATATACAGAAGACATTGCTGAATTTGCAAATAGCTGGACTGTGCAAACCCCATATGAAACAGCTTGTGTACCTACTGCCTCGTATTTTTCCAGTCCTTGTTCAGCTGATGCAGAATCCACTGAGGCAAGTTAATCATGTAATTTATTATTATATTTTTAATGTTAATTACCTTGTGACAATACAAGAATCAAGGCATGTTGGCCGTATTGAAAAAACCTCAAATGCATTGAGGCTTTGAGAAAGAGAAGATTCAGATCAGGATTGTTGCTAGGCACCTTCAGATATGTAGTACAAAAGCTCAGATAGGATGTACCAGGTGGCTGAGATCTGCTGGCAGAACTCTTCATTGCTGCATTAATCTTGAGTTCAATTTGCAGTCCTCATGCCTTATACCTCATTATGTTGGAAATATGAAATACTGCAGAAGTAACGTGCTCAGCTCCTGTGTTGACATGAAATGGTTGTTTGTCATTTCATGTTCTTTACTCCCAGACGGATTAGGAGCAGTATCTAGTCAAGCCAGTCTAGGCAGAGGGGACAAATTCTGGGAAGAATCATAGAGCAAACAGCTGTGGGATTTGCAGGTTTTAATGAGGATATAAAAGACCCCAGATTATTTTTTTTGGGAAAGAAAGGGAAAAAGAATTATGCTTCTTCAGAATGTGTTTTCTAACTGTAATTTACCTGTTTCTTCTTAATGCACAGGACATATTCTTCAAGTGCCAAATATTCCTACAGTTTCCTTTTCTCAGCTGTCATGAAAGCATAGATCCATATTCTTATATTTCTAGCTGTATGAATGATCTTTGTAGGTAAGAATGGAGTTCTTGTGTACTTATTTTTGCTGCATAGAATGCATGCTCACTCTCTCTTTTGAGACGAGAACTAGGTGGCATTGAATGAAGTTAGTAGGAAACAAGGTCAAAGTGAATGGGGTGGCAGAGGGTCATCGGGAGGTCGTGAGTCAAAAATACATGGAGACTGGGGTGATACTAGGCCCAAATATCAAAGATACTTGGGGAGCTGGACCATTTGTCTGAGGTAGTTGGACTGTTTTTATGACAAAAACATAACAGAGCAACCATTATGGTTCAGATTAGTAGAATTTTTCAATATCGTTTTATTTATGTAAATTCAGAGATGTCAAAAGAAATTTCAGCACATTGGGTTTGGTGGGAGTTACACCTCCAGTTGCTGGGTTTATATTCAACTTGCTATTTTTCCCATAGCTCCAGACTCCCATTCAGTTCATGTCAGTCGTTCAGGTTCAACTGGTGCTCCAATGGGTAACTGAATAGGTGACAGAGCAATATATCCCTTCTGTTTTTAGTGAAGGCTTTATAATTAGGAAGTAATTGTCATAAATAACGGGTATTATGTTAGATACTATTACAGCTTTCTGAAAGTATCATCAATTTGTTAAAGAACATACAGAAAGAATCACAGGACTGAAAGGAAGAATCATTCAGTAGCACCCATTACACTTGTTACTTCATTTCCTATGAATTGTTAATGAATTTTTACTTTTCTATTTTACCATCAAGTCAAGTTGGAAGAATTTGTAGGAAAGTCTCCAGAATGTTCTTACTGAAGCTGATGATGTGTACATTTATTTTTCCCAGAGAGAGGTAGAGCTGCGCTGCCTCTGTATGATCTATTTATAACTCAGGAGCTTATTGTGCCTTTTCTTTAGCAAAAGAAGAATAACAAAAAGCAGATTTCCAAATGTGACATTGAATCACTATCATGTGGCTCAGAATTTGACTTTTGACAGCGTGAATGTGCGTGTAATGTGAACTGTGTGAATGTTGAAAACTTTGAAGGAAGTTTCTGTGTCTCAGAACCTCATTAATTCAGGCTTATTTTGTTTATAAGAGAGACCTCTCTTTTTGTGGCTTAGTGTCAGTTTAGGAAGTTTCTTGTGGGACCGTAGTGTATGCCAAGTAGTCTTTCTATTAAGACTCATTTAATTGGATTAGATAAGAAGAGGTGGAGAGACTATGATCACTGTAACAAAGAATATAGTGGTCAATTTGATTATAGATGTGTTGAAAGCAGACTGCAAATGCAGTCTGATATATTCTTGAGACTATTAATTTTGGAAGCTTAATCTTGTGTGCTGAAAGGCAGATCAGCTCAGCTGTTCTGTCGTGGTCATGCTTCTATTAGAAATGTTGTGTTATGACTAGTTCATTTAGGCATCAAGTCCTTCACAGTGAATGATGGGAGTTGGTGAACTTCCATGGTAACAAAAAACTGGTGGTATCTCATCTCACGCAACTCACCTTTGAAAAATATTTCAGTTCATCTAAATCCTTATGAATGTCTCTTTTACTTGATCCTGGCAAAAGGACACTGTATAGTTTCTTCTGTAGATACAGACTAAGGTGCAGAAGGATTTTGTCCAGTGTCACTCTAGAAGTCCCTGAATGTGCCTATAATATTCACTGGACAATGCTTTTGGTGTTGAGCAC